TGTTCTTTGTAATATGTATTAAAACTGTATTATAAATATATTAAAAGTGATCAAGTGAAAAAAATATTATTACGTAAATATTTTTTATTATAGTATATTTATGTAAGTTTCCCTAATAATTAATTGTGTTTAATGTCATGAAAGTACTTATAAATAGATAGTTTGGAACGAATTTTATATGGACCAAACAAATAACCCACAATAACATAATCAACCATTTGTGAATTGCTTTACAATAAATTAACTTATATCAATGGTACTTGAAGGTAACTATATGATTAACATTTTTCTAATTACTTTTTGCCGGAGAGGAATTGAATTTTTCTAATATACTTAGTGATTGTTTGATAGTTAGATAAGAAATAAGTTATTTATGTATTAATTTTCATATAACGACAATTGTAGACAAATAAAAAAGAGGAATTTTCACATATAGCCACTCAAAAAAAGCTTAATTACTCTTCATAGTTATAGTTTGATAATTACAATTCGTAGTTACATGTTATAGGGAGGAGAGAGGCGAGCGAGACTGGGAGAGAGAGGAAAGAGGCAAGCGATAGAGGGCAATGAGTGGGAGAGAGGTGAATTGTAGATGTGTATCGGTTAGATAATTGTATATTATACATATGTATTTGTATATATGGCAAGCAAGATTAGGAGAGGGAGGAGAGAGGCGAGTGTCACTCCCCGAGCCTACATTCTGGGAGGGACTAGCACTCGAGAACCATTGTTGGCCCCAAACGAACCCTTGACCTGACCTACTACTCAGCGGAAGACTTACTGATGATAAAATACTTTAAAAGCCAACTAAAATCTCAATAAAACTTAGAATGTATAAAGAACATTCACTAGCCAAAATGGCACTCAAGTCTCAATCATCAAAACATGAATGGAAAGACTCAAGAACTAACATCAACTACTGCCTATGAAGCCTTTAAAACAAAGAGGGATGTCGGGACAAGACCCTCGATCATCCTAACAACTAAGGTACTAAATCAAATGATAAAGGGGTCCTCTGGATAGCAAGGAAGCTCACCAACTGACTCTGAGTGCTCAACTGGACAACGAGGCACTGCATCCTGATCCTGGTTACCTGTGTCTACATCATAAAACGATGCAGGCCAAATGACGTCAGTACATTGAATGTATGAGTATGCGAGGAGAAAACTAAACATAACATAAGCTTGAAAAGAATCTGAAAGGAACACTTACCTTGGCTTTACTCAACTCATGAATACTCAGCTCAAATGCAAAGTAAAAACAACAATAAGGGTGCAGTTTATACAAAGCATTTAAAACAGTAGATAGCAATAGAGGTGTGTATCGGTCGGTTCAGTTCGGTTTTAAGTATTATCGATTCAATTTATCGGTTTTCGATTTTTAAATATGCTAAACCGATAACCAAACCAATAAGATATTTGTTATCGATTTTCAGTTTATCGTTTTTAGGCTTTAACAATTTGGTTTTTGATTTAACCAATAAGAAAATGTTTTCAAAACAAATATATGACTTGTCTAACAATTTAACGCGAAATAAGAAAGAGAGAAATATAATTACTCATTGAGTGCAAAAATTTTGCTTAGTGTAGTAAAAGTATAGCAAATACTCATAATTCACAACCCTAGTCGTTGCCTAAAAGACTAAAGTAATACTAAAATCTAAAGAATAAATGCAAAGAGCAGAGTTAATTAAGTAATGTTAATTGTGTAGGATCCTTATAGTTAAAGTTTAATATAATGATTATATTAATATTTTTTGTTTGATACTTATGTATGACTACAAATTAAAATAGTAAATTATTATATTCTTAATGGGTTATTGGTTAATCCAATAATCTAATATTAAAAAACCAATATCGAACTGATAACCCAATAATTTTTTTTATAAAACCATTAAATAATTGTTAACCCAATAACAACAAACAAATAACATTTTTTCGGTTCGATTTATCGGTCATTTCGATTTTTGCACACCCCTAGATAGCAAAACAATTTGTTAAAGAAATGCAATAACAACTCAGTTTACATATAAAGTAATATAATATTGTGGGAGTTTCTCTAACCGACAACCACCACTATGAGCCTAAGTGATGATACAATATCTCGCTCACGCTGTCAGAATTGTCATATACTTTGCCGTCATATAGAACGTCTCAACTAAGCGGATTCACTTGTCTATGCTAAAAAACACTAAGGAATCATCTAAAAAGTATAATCATTTCTATCCATGATGACTACATTGTTTATAGAGACTTGAGTTATTATGAACTCGCGTCCCCATATCGGTGCTCAATACTACTCCCAAAATATACTCAGCTCATATGTTTTAAAACAAAACTCTTTATGTTATTTGAGATAATTACTCAAAAACTAGCTCAAAGACTCTCTTAGAAATCGATGTTTCCTTTCTTGTTCAAATGTGAAAACATTTTAACTCTTGGAAATACTTAGTTCCCGTATAATTTTTGAAGAAATGAACTTTACTTTTACTCTTTACTCAATTCAAAACTTAAGTTTTAAAACAAAGTTAAAACGTTTGTAACTTTTGGAAGACTCTATGAACTTCTCTTGACTCAACTCTTAACTTCTTAACTTGACTCTTAACTTTCCTTGAATTGAATTATGGATTCAAGGTTCATGATCTCATGTTTATGGATGATTTCATGATGTTTAGATGTACCTTAGAGTGTAGAAATCAACTAGAAAACATAGGTACATTGCTAGGGAACTAATACGGAAAGAAGTGGAAAAAGGTGGAAGAACTGGCGTTCCTGGCGCTTTGAGAGGCGCGGTCGCCAGCCCTGAAATTTTAGAGGCTGACTTGGGGCGCTCTGGCTAGCGCGGCGCCCCAGAGGTCAAATTTCAGAGACTACTTTTGGGGCGCGCTGAGAGGTGCGACACCCCAACCCCTTCCCCAGATTTTTGATGAAATTTATTTTTCGTTTTTCAACTCTAAACCCTTTAAATTCAATTGGTTTTTTCCCCAAACACTTAGAATCGACCATATCCTCTCAATATATGAAAGATTCTACTCGAAATCACACCTAAATTCATGAATCAATCTCAAGAAACTTCAACAACAATAACCCATAAGATTTCAAACGAATTATTATCAAGAACTCATAATATTTGCTTTCAAAACAACACAACTTCGCTGAATTGAATCATGATTGGAGCGTGAGTGAACTAACTCAACGCTATGTGATCTCACATACCTCGTAGGGATTACCCCTTGACGAAAACCACATTTCTTAGCTTCGAGATTTGGCAATTTCCTTGCTTCTTCTCCTCTTCTTTTCTCTTCTCTCAAAACCCTAACTTAGTTTTCAAAAGCGTAAACTAACCAAGTTCAGTTTAGACCCCAATTAAACTGCTAAAAACGAAATAAAACAATTGGGTAAGAAAAAGACCAAAATACCCTTCCAAAATCCGATTTTGACTTTCCTTATCTAGACAGCCCAACTTCGAATGGGCATATCTCATTCATACTAACTTGGAATTAAGAAAACTTGGCGGCGTTGGAAAGATAATTCAAAGATTTTTCCTACGGTATCTTGTAGCACACCTAACCCATCCTGAGCTAGGAGTTATGGTCGTTTGAAGTTGACCCAAAACTCAAACTTAACTTAATTTTGTCAAATTTCCAAATTTTCATTCTTTCCGAAAATGACTCTTTATAATTCTAGCTCTTTCTAGTTCTTTCAATTAGCGAGGTGTTACAGCGAGCGAGAGAGGGCAGAGAGTGAAGAGAGGTGAATTGTATATGTATATCGATTAGATAATTGTATATTATACATATGCATTTGTATATATGGCAAGCGAGATTGGGAGAGATAAGAGAGAGGCGAGCGAGATTGGGAGAGGGAGGAGAGAGGCGAGCGAGAGAGGGTAGAGAGTGGGAGAGAGATGAATTGTATATGTATATCGGTTAGATAATTGTATATTATACTTATGTATTTGTATATTCTGGCAAATTATACATATACAAACGTGGTTAATTATACAAACTCGAAGTCAATCCGCGTAATTAATGTATAATGTTAGTCGCGAGTGGTAATTATAGCAAACTATAGCTATGATGAGTAATTAAGTAGTATAAATTTGCTTAACCGCGTAATTTTTCCAATAGAAAATAAGTTATTTGTGTATAAAATTAATATAGCATTTGATTGACAATGCAAGAACCTGTATAACTAATACATATATACATAATGAAGAAATCTACATGTATTATATGTAAGATTTATGTATATATAAGATATAATATGAAATAACTAGTAAATGAATAATTAATTCATCCATAAGTAATATACACATAAAATAATACATCGATTCACTCGTAATTCATTCCTAAAGTACATTATTAATACATATATAACTCTAACCAACTACCAAATAATCTATTACTGCAAAAATTCCATCTGATATGGCATTATTAACAAGTACATTAATGTTCCAATTGCACAAGATATGGAGTCTCATTAGTCATTACTAAGGAGATCTTCTCATTATGTCAAGCATTCTTATAACCATTAGGTGCTCAACATAGTTCATTCAGGTAAACATCGTTTTAGAATCTTTTCAATGTATAAATATTTCATTTATCAAATGCTCAATTTATAATCCAAGATAAAATTTTATCTTCTCAAAATCCTTTATTTCAATTTATTTTTAAAAATATTATATTGCCTTTGGAAGTTCTTACAGTTATTATGACGAATTTAGCTTCAAGCTTCCTTATAAAAGTGCGATAAATCGGATAATTTTTGTAACAATCCTTTAGCAAATTTTCTTTAAAAAGATGGTACCACATTCATCCTGATTGTTTCAATTTTCATAAAGATTTATTGAACAAGTACTCCGAGAGCCTTTATATGCTTCAGACATGTTGAACTATTCAAGAATTCTCATAAATTTTTTTTGATGTTTCAATGAGCCATATAAATAGAATGGGACAACATTATCAGATGCATTGAAGAATAAATTAGAGAAAAAGAAGCAACAAAAATAAATGACTAGCTAAAGAAAAGGGAGTTAACAAAACCACCTTTGCGATGTATACATACATGACAAGAAAAGATGATCGTGTAAACAACATTACCAAATGAAGGGAAGAAAGATATCAGACGCATTTTCGGACCGCGCATTCCATTTTTTTTAATCATTCAATATTCAAAATTTACTGACTTGACTGCATACAGACCTTCTAATCCATATTAGGACGAGAGAAGTGACGAGAACCTGGTGCAGCATGCAATGAATTAGGCCTCCATGCAGAAGCAGTAAACAAGCAAAGATCTTTCCATCCAAGCTTAAGAGTTCCATTATCCTCAACCAAAGTGTATCCATGAGACGGGAACATTCCGAGTAAAAGAGTAGCTTGTGCAGCAGCATTACCTGCAAGAGACAAGCATCTAAATCCAGACTGTTGAAGCTTCTCTCTCCAGTTGTTGAATTTCGCGTCCCCGCTCCTTGATGGACCTCCTACGGCTAGTACATTACGTATCTCCTTAGACAATAGTTGTTGCTCCACCACATGCCTTTCTTCACTCTCCTCCCCGTAGCACGCGCCCAGTGAGTCAAATAGAGCTGAGTAGTAATGTATTGCCTCTACAAACCTCCCTAGGAATGAACCCGCGTGGCTCAGATCCTGCTCCACAACCGTCACCACCTTCGGAGCCAACCTGAAGTAAAGCAAATTAATCAAACTTACATACAGATACAGTGGTAGGATGTAGAGTACAAGTGATGTGGTAAAATTACAACAAATACTTCATATTTCTCTATTCACTAATACTTGTCCATTTTGAATTTTGGACACCTCTTAAAAAATACTGATTGTAGGGATATTTTACTATGATATCATACTAATTGATATTTATTTCTATATTAACTGATCACCTTATTAAAAATATGTCCCAAATTATTTATCCACTTACTAAATCAAATAACTTAATTAAAATTCTCATTTTATCTCTATAGGTAATATGGAATCCTAAAAAATTTTGTAAGTTTCAAAATTTTATTTTTCCTAGAGTTCACAAGTTACTTTCTTCTATTTCAATTATATCTATTCCTATACTATTAAACGTATTTTTCATATACTATCTTGATGTTCATCAACATAGATAAAAGATAAATTAGTAAAATTAACCATTTTAATTATGATTTTTAGTTATCATGTAAAATGAAAAGTGATCAACTAATAAAAGAGGAAGGAAGTATTAGGTTTTGAAAAAAATTATTTAGGAGAATAAATAATGCTAATAATAAAACATGAAGGAAAATAAAAATGAACCGAAAAAATATTAGACATTAACTAATACTATGATATTATGGGTATTAAGTATATCAAGAGAATTTTCTTTTCTTCTTATTTCACCCTTCAACATTATTTACTTTTATCTTACAAAATTCACACCAAGTGGTAACTAGTTTTTCTCTCTAGCCTTTCTATCCTTTTGGGGCGTGCTCCCCAGAAATTTGACATATTTGAACTTCTTTTTTAAAAAGAAGAGAATTCACGGAAAATTAATTAGGCAGGAAGGACTCAGTAATTCAAAGAGAAGACGGCTTTTGCTTCAAAAAGTGATTGGCCTTTTTCTCCTCCTTTTTTCAGGTTTACTGAAAAAGAGAATCACCGCTGGTCAAAGAGAAGCGCCGTGTAATAAAGGAAAAATAAATATCTATACTAGTACGAATCATTTTATTTGTAATTAATTAAATATATATCACATTTTTTTTTACAATATTGTTATTAGCAATTGTATCATCTACAACACAATATTCATATCATGAAGAGATTCTTTTTTCCTTACGTTAAAGCTGCATGTTGGTTCTTTAATTTCAAGTGCAGATAGTTAGTCATGGAAAGTGATAACTGAAGGTATACGTATTTGACTAGACGACATGGAATGAAAACGCATGGAAAATAGCAGCAACAGTATTTTTGAATTTGGTGATTTCAAATATGTTAAAAGCCATTTTTTTTGGAGCTACAAAAGTATATTTATAAAGTACTACTAAAAAAAATAAAATTTGAATTCAAAAAAAAAATTCCAAACATAGAAATTGTGTACCTTTGCAAGAGGGAGAGTGTATTAGAGTCGCTGCCAGTAACATCGTAAAGGGAATGTTGCAACCAATGAACCGCTACAGCTTCTCTCTTGCTCACATTCAATTTCTCAGGGTCTAAGTTTCCAACTTTATCAGCAACTGGTAAAAACTCGAAAGGAAGGCCTAATCTCTCAGCAAAATCGGATAGTCGTTTGCCGGTTGCTTCAAGAGCATCCATGGATGTTCCAAGCCCGGTGAGCCGAACAAAAGGAGGTCCACCAGGCCTAGAAGCCAAGATGTGGAAAAGACCAGGCCATTGAAGACCTTGCATTATATCAAGGTCGATTATGTGTACCCGGTCTTCTCTCTCAAAAGCTTCTTGTATAGCTTGATTGGCGGTGAAATGTGAGAATTTAATGAAGGGGCTGATTCCGTTAAACACCTGGAAAGCGGATGCCATTTTCTGTGTGTAAAGCATGGGGACGCTGGTCATTGGTAGGGCTGCATATATTCCTAAGCATGAATTCAACAGCCTTGCTGACATGGCCTCTGAGAAATATGCAGCAACACGCTGTGCAGATGTGCCAAACGGTGTGGAGAGTTCGGATACTTCCAATAGCATTTTATTTGCCTCTTCTAAATTATCAGCGGATACGGCTTCTGCACATTGCAATAGCAAGGTCAGAAGGTGTAATCCTTCTTCATCCCTCTTCTGTTGTCGCTCTTCTTCCTTTTTTTCTCGGTATGTGGTGATCGGGACTGGTGGAGCTGGTGTTGAAGTTTTTGTTTTGGCACTATTGTCAGCTACCGACGTTGGAGATAGAGAATTAGAAGATTGCTGCTGCTTCTGTTGTTGCTCTAAGTCTACTGCTGCCTGTTGCTGAGAATGAGAACGAGAATGAGGAGATTCTTGTTGTTGCTGTTGCTGCACTTGAGGAGAAAGTGTAACAAATGAAAGATCTGTTGCAGTAGGATTATTGCCGCCAAGCTGCTGGTGCTGGTTCAGAGAAGGCGCCACCGGAGCGTTGGATATTTCCCAGTTTAAGTATTGATTATTTGAGGAATCAGGAAGGGATAAAATATTGTGCTGCAATAAATTGGCATTATTTTGGGACTGTTGTAAACCAGCGAGCTGTGGCGGCAGCGATTCTTTTCTCCTCCAGCACTCCATGGGGTCATTTTGATCAGCACCACCATTATTGTTACTAGTGAGAGAGCAAAGCCGGTACTCCAGCAGGGATGCGAGATACGGATTGCAAGGGTGGATTATCTCCCTTACATTCTGTATGAGTTGGGGCACCGATACTTGAGCGGAGCTGTTGATTAAATCCTTTATAATACTGTCAATCCATGCCGTTGCCGACGTGCTATCCTCCATGGAATCGATTCTTCCAGTTGTAAGAGGTGAAGATACAACAGCTGCTGCAGCAGCAGGAGGTTGCTGCAGTAGTAAACCGCTGTTTTGTCGGTTTCTATCCGGAGGAAAAAGGGGCAAACCGGAGAAAACACAAACAGATGGAGATTGATTGTTGCTGTTGTTGTTCTGGGTTTGAGTACCTTGTTGTGGCTGATGATGCGATGTTATGGCGTCTGTGTAAGTTAGGTTTGGGGTTGAATTAGAAAATCCAGTATCAATCCCAGGCCCTCCTCTTGACGTCACACCGCACAAGTTCGTGGAAGAAGGTAACATTTGCATAGTGGAGTAGTTAGAAACCTGGGTCGTCGTCGTATTACTGTTCATACCATGACCAAAATTACTATTGCCACAAACCCTTAAATCACCAACCTGAGAGTGAGACCCGCCTATTATAGCAGGCCGGCGTAGATATCTATGCTCTTCACCGGCGCCGGTCTGGATCTCCATGTCAGACGCCGCTCTCTTCCTAACCATTTTTCCGTTTTCACAGTGAAAAAGTTCCTTGCTTGTAGTAGCCTGCAGCTTCTCACCACTACTATCACCGACGACGTTTACACCGGTGCAGTTCTCACCACTCACAGGTAAAGCCTTCGCCATGATATATGAAATAAATTCTCAAACTCTATTAAATGTTTCATCTCCATCATATACTGTGAGAGGGATCCGGGTTAATAAAATCAGTTACCAGAATCCAAACATATAGCGGTGAAAGGATTTAGACAGCAAGCATTGGGATTCTGTGGTTTAATTTTTCTCAATCAAAGACCATAATGCAACACAACACGTCCTTCACCTAGGGCAACTCTACTATACTTGTTTATAAACACTTGACTGGTTGCATTTTGGATTTATATGCAATTTCAGTATTGCCAATGAGAAAGAGGCTAGGAAAAATGGAATTTATTGACGACATAAAGTACCGAAGTTGTTGAAAACTTATTAATCATATCATATTAAAAAAAAAATTGTAATCCATGAAGCTATCTTTTCCTCTTTTTCCCCAACATTGCTTTTCAATTATTATTGCGGCTATTAGTGCTATGACACTAGATTTTTCTATGTATATTGCAATGTTGATATTGTGAACATAGTATAGTATAGTTTTTTAAAAAAAAATATTTTATAGTTATGGAATGAAGAGAGTTGATAGAAAGTGTTGGGTCCACGAGGGGTTTTCAAGTTTTTCTGAGCAGTGGTTCAGTGGAGATAGGTACCTTTCTCTGGCAAGTTAAGGGAAGGTGTTGGCTTAAATGATGGAAACTTTTGTTTTCTTCTTATTTGCTTTCTTTCTCATCTCGATTAGTGAGTCGTCTTCGTCCGTTTGACTTTAGCTACTTATTACTTCTTCATCAACTTACATGTCCGGTCCACATGAATTTTTTTAACTTTAGAGTCATTGTAAGATATATAGAATAGTAAATTTGGGATAAAATATAGGGAAAAAGGATAAATATATATCTGAATTATCATAAATGATATTCAGATATTCTCCGTCATATTTTTTGAAAAATTGGTGTTTCTGTCGTTAAAAAATTAGAGCATATATGCCATTCACTCTAACGGAAGACTAAATAGGAACACGTGGCACAATCTTATCCGTTAATCTGATATTTAATAAATGTTGGGTGGGTGAATAAGATTATGACACGTGTATATCCGTTAGTATAAAGGGTATATATGCTTTAGTTTTTGGACGGTAGGGGCACCAATGTCTCAAAAGTATGACGGAGGGTATTTGCATAGCATTTACGATAGTTTGATGATATATTTGTCTTTTTCCCTAAAATTTAAGATTATTTTATCGTACATTTGATTGAAAGTTTAAGTAATCTTTAGATTATTTATATTGTAGTGATGAAATAATTTAGTCCATATGTATAATAAAATAACTTGTATTGAAATAATTTATTTCGGGATAACTTCTTCACAATCAAATGATCCCTTAGATTTGATTTAAAATAAGTATGCGTTTCGACATAAAAAAAATGTAAAATTTGAAGAAAATAATTAAAAATATATTATTATTTTTGCAATATTGAAGTTGTGTTTAAATATAAATATAACTTTAAAAAATGTGGAAAATACTAAGGAATTGTTTGGTTTGAATTCAAGCTATGATTGAATTAGTTTTGTTGAGTGTTTGATCTGTTGTATTCAAAATAATATGCAATGCATAATTTTTGTTTACAAAAACTCTCTTCATGAATATGAAAAGTGATGTATAAAAAGGATTTAAAGGGATATTTTTATCATTTACTTAATTTTCTGGGATAAGTTATCCCGAGATTACTATACGATGAATGATAACTTTTATTCCGATACTAATTATTCACACCAACACCAAACGACTAGATTTTTTGCGAGTAGGTGTAAATATGGTGGTTCCTATGATAGCTCACAGCTCGAGATAAGATAGCCAAAAAGGTCGTTGGGGATCGGATACTCTCAGCATTGCTTTCTATGGAATTGTCGACAGGACGATAAAACCAGTGGGTGAAGCTGTCTTATAATCTTTATACTAAAAATATATAGAATAATTTGGTTATATTAAATTTATCAGAAAAAATCAAAATAAAGGAGGTACACTCACTGTTCATTACATATGACAGTTTCAATTTAAAAAGGAAAAAACCTATCTTATTTATTCATTTAATAACAAAATAAAAATAATATTCTCAAAAATAAAACTTAGTTTACACCCAATTAGGACAAAAATATCGTAACTTGTGAAAAATAAAAACAAATCTTGAAAGAAGAAGCAAATACTATTTTTAAAATATATATAATAAACAAATTAAAATAACATTCTCAAAAAGAAAGGAAAAAGACTAAACCTAAAAATGAAATTTAAAGAATTCGCAGCTTCTGAAAAAATAAAAACAAAAAATCTGGAAATATTTTGAGGGAAAAACTACATATAATTAGGAATCCAGAGTCAAAAGATAATAAATTGAGAAAAAATTTCAAAAGAGAAACAAAATTTAGTCAACGCTGACTTAAAAAAAAGATTAATATTCCTTCTTCATTATTTATTTAATCGTTGTTGTGTTTCTTGTTTATTTATTTTTTCTATTTTCACTATTTTTACGTGTAAATAAAAATGTAAATGATATGATCAAGGTTAATAGCTTTTTTTTTTGTATAATTTGATAATATTAAGAACAAAATATATGAATATAAAAAAATAAAGAGGACATTTTTAATATATTTTTTATGTTAACAAAAAGAACACGCATTTATTATTAAAAAAAACAATCATTATAGAGGCATGCTATTGTCAACAAAGTAATTTTTATCCTTTAATTTGTGTTATTATCCTTGTTTCTTATATTTGAATTATTATTTTGTGATAGTTCCATTTTTGTTAATGTTTCAATATACTACTAGTATTTTGTTAAAGCTTTTCAGTTTTCACTTCTATTATATGTTTTTCAAATTATTTAAAATTCAGGATCTATCAAAAATTAACTTTTCTGTTTTTTCAAATGAAAATAATAATAAGAATACTCGTCTAAAGGAAAATGTGGACTTGTAGGGAAAAAATTGAAAAACAAAGTACTATTAAAGAATGTGGATTGTGGTGCACTGAATTGGCTATTCCAAAAATCTGTAATAAAAAGCATTTTTTCGTCGAACGAATACTACATAACATAAATCCAAATAACCAACAAGTGTTGTAGTGGAGTAATTAATACTCCTTCATTTTTAATCAAGAGGTCTCGAATTTGAATCCCTTGAATACAGAATCATTTTTGTTAAGGAGCGTTTACCTTCAATGTGAAATTTTAAATTTAATCAAGTTTCAACGTAAATATCAGACACTAAATAAAAAAAAAATAAAAAATATAAATCTAAATATAATCAAAATTTAATAAAAATACCGAACATCAAATAGAAAAAATAAGGTGTGTGAATAGAAGGATGAGATAGGTTCAAAGAGGGCAGGTAATTGAGAGGACATGTCAAAAGAATTGCTAAGGTCGAGGCAGGAGGGTGTCAGTCCCCAAAAGGCAAGCTAGTGTTTGACATTTTGCTTTCAACGGCATCATCATCTCTATGCTTTTTCCCCTCTTTGGATCTTCCTTTGCTTTTCTTCTTGTTTGACTCTTTGCCCCACTACTCTACCTATTGCAAAATTCATTTAATAATACATACTCCCTCCGTCCCTTTTTAGTTGTCCACTTTAGAAATGGCACACAGATTAAGGCAACAATGATTAGCACAGTGAAGTTACAATTTTACCCTTATGACAACTTTTCACTTCAAAATTACAACCACTTATTTGAATTAAAGTGAAATAAATTGGAGGGAACAACATACACTTTTACAATTTTCAAGAAGTGTAAATAAGGGTATAATAGAAAAAAAACTGTTGTCCTTTCTTGATTTGTCAAAATGGACAACTAAATAGGGACAACCAAAAAAGGAAATATGGACAAGTAAATAGGGACGGAGGGAGTATATTATACATATACATACTAGTAATAAAGTACTACAACTACTAAGATCTACTCTACTACTCCTACTATATCTTTGAACATAATAATAGTAGTAGAAAAGAATTCATAAGTATGAATAAGGGGTCGTTTGGTTGAAAACTAGTTATCTTATGATTAATTATTTTGAGATTAGTTATTCTGAAATAACTTATCTCACCCTCTATGTGAAATAATTTATTCCATCACTATGATATAAATGGTGGAATAAGTTATTTCAAATATATCAACCAAACAAGACACCAAACTTTTATCTCAGTACTATTTTTTTTATCCCAGGACTATATATTCTTATTCCTCACACCAAACAACCCCTAAAGATCGTAATAGAGTGGTAAGTATTTTTTAATCTTTAATCAAAAGATATTCGACATTGAACCTTCTTTTTTTGGTACATATATAGTTGTTTTTTTATTGATGATATATATGTACCGAAATAAAGTTCATCAACAAATAACATTTCATTTTTCAATTTGATATTTTGGTAAGAGAAGCTAATTGCACAAATATAATGTTAGAAAAAGAAAAGAGCAAGAAAAATAAGTTCATAAATTTGTTACATTTAAATAAACTTATATTTATTTAATAATACAACTTATTGTGTTTGATGCATTCACATGAATTATATAAATATTTTATCTCTTTTGTTCATTACTTCCATTCCTTTATAAATAATGTAATTGATAAAATTAATCACAATTTTATTTTTATTTTATGTATAATTCTTTTGTTTCGTACGTGGACTCAATTGGTGTACAGTGTACACCAACAGGCAAATGCGAGAGCAACCCTATGAAGTTTTGATTTTAGAAAAAATCTTTTATTTAGTTCTAATAAATTATTTATATGCATTAAATGAAATTTTTAACACGAATATAAAGTATAAATTAAAACCAAAGAAAGTTATTGAACTGTAAGTAGAGTTATAACACCAAACAAATGTGCGTAACAAATTTTAACGGGAGATAGCGCTGTAAAAATGAGAATTAATATATAATACAATATATATTTTGATATTTGTTACCTCATACCAATAACAGGACCATATAACTCTATTCACAAGGCTAAAAGATGGAAAAATATAACATATCTCATGATTTTCAACCCACTTTATTTGATCACTAGGTCACATCCTTAAATATTTTATTAATATATATTTTGATAATTGTGGTGTCCAAGTCAGTTTTATGTGTATCTTGATTAATTTCACGGAATATATGTTCCCTTATACAATAATAAAGTACTAGATAACTCTATTCACAAGGCAAGAAGATGGGGAAAAATCATAAATAACGTGATTTTCAACCACTTTATTGATGATTAAGTCACACCCTTAAATATTATATATAAAATATTATAACTAAATAAAAATAAAATAACTTGTATGCTTTAAGTGCGAGAAAGTTACTAATAATAATTGAAACATCCTATTAAGTAATTTGTATTATTAATAATTTTACTCGTATCTTTTACTAATATATTTAGTCATGGCTATAACTCATAGAGAGTATAAATGATATTTTCATA